AATTAAGTGTCTAAGAATGGCATTCACACAAAAGCCAGCAGGGGGAGCAGGGTGCTGCCTAAGCTAGCCAATAGGAAAGACTGAGGAGGGGTGTGTGACCCACACACTCAAATGGATTTAGCCCCTTAAGTCTGAGCTGGAGGTACGTGAATGGGGCACCTATGCCAGGTGGAAAGCAGGGGTGACGGTTCCCCACTTATAATCTTTAGCCCAGGAAGTGGGAGACCTGGGTTCATATCCCCCCGCTGCCTGATGTGGAGGAGGAAATTAAGGTCCCCCACCTCTCAGAAGGTATAAATAATCAGCTCTCCACTGGAGCAGGGGGACTGAACCCTGAGCCTCTCTCAACAGTGCCCTAATAGAGTCCCACTGCCCCCAATGAATAGTTAAGGATTTATGGACAGTGGAACAGTGTCCACTGGAGAGACTCAGCAAGCCTTGCCTTGGCTACCCTATAGCCCAGTGGTTAGGGAGGTAGGAGACAAGTTCAAATCTCTGCTCCACATGAGGCAAAGGGGGGATATGAACCCAGCTCTCCCACATCCTGGGGCTGTGCTCTAACCATTGAACAAACGGGGGCACCTCCTTCTCCAGTGTCCTGTGTAGGGGTTTAGGCATGCTCTCGGCATGCCTACTGCATCAGGCCTTGGAGGCAAGATCGGTGAGAAATGCCTAGTTGCAAATCCCACTGGGGCTGAGGCGTGAGGTAGGTGTTGACCTGCTGGGAGACGTCAGGAGCGAGGTGGCTCAGTGAAGGCCCAGCTACTGAAATTGAGGTGCCTTGGGGACTTTGAAGGTGGGAACTTGGTGCCTACAGGTTTAGACAGCAGCTGAGTGGTGGTTTTGTGAATGCCAGTGGCATCTAAATGTTGGATGGCGGTGCCTAAAGTGAGTTAGGCACTTAAGTCACCCTTAAGAATCTCACCCATTTCACCTAATCTACCCTCACGCTCTGAGGTCTACGTTGTGTTGGACATGTCTAGAGAACATTCATTGTGCAGAACAAACTGAACCTAATGCCTTCGTGCAGCGTTGGTCTCAAAACTCCTCTGATTTCAAATGTGTCATTTTATTAATGCACAACAACCTGGATCCTTGGAGGGGGAAAAACTGATGGCTAGTGACTATGGCAGAAATAGAGTAAAAGGAAATATTTCAATAACTGAGCAGTCAGATTAAAGTCCACGTTGGAACGTCTCAAAGGGAAGAGAAACACTTACTTGGTGTAAAATGCCACAAACTTCAGTTCATCTAAATCGCCTTGAAACACGACATCATCAAATCCTTCCCCGTGGCCTGAAAAACAGGGGAAATGTCAAAGCGGTGCAGGAGGCAGAATGCTGCTCCCTTTGCCCTTCCTCCCCTATGGTTCCACATTACACAATCTCATGTGCACACAGGTACGCACACACAGGCAAGCACCCACATACGTAGACAACACATGCCATATGGCAGTGGTCTGTCTTACAGCCACAACCTCTTTTTGGACGACAATCTACAAACTAGAGACACCGTCACCGTGTGCTGGGATTGGCGTGACAGTCCTAAAATCCCAGCATGCTTTGCTCAGCCATCTCCTAAATGATTCAATCATAGTGCTATGGGAAGCCACAGTCTGCCCACTAAGAGCTTGCGTCATTAAGAAATTAAGTGTATAAGTGTCACTTTAGGTGCCTAAATCCCAGAATCTGGCCCCACTGGGATTCACAAAACCACTGCTCAACTGCCACCGAACCCTGTAGGTTCCTAAAATTGCTCAGTACCCATGTTTATGCCTTTGGGCATGGGCACTGCAGCTCCATGCCAGGTGTCCAGGGAGAAGGAAGAAGACCTCCCCCATAATCTTTAGCCCAGTGGTGAGGGTACTCAGCGTGGCTATAGGAGACCCTCAGTTCAAGTCACCCCTTATGCCTGGGTGGGGACAAGGATTTGAACAGGGATCTACCACCTCTCAAGTGAGTGCCTATCACTGTGGTATGAGATAGTCGGATGTGGGGAGCTCCCTCAGTGTCTCCTGTTGAAGCTGTTGCACTGAGGACAAACAAGGAAAGAGTCACTGGGACAAAGGGAGTCTGTGTTTTTTGGATAAGGTCCTTGCCAAATTCCAGAGAGCGCTCCCAAGCCCCTGATTGTTCTCAGAGTGACACTGGCCAAATGCGAGGGCTCTGTTTCCTGACTGGCTAACATTTTGCTGGGTTGGGGAAAACTGGCTGTTCTGAAATCTCACCAGAACAGAATGGGAGGGTAGAGTGACTTTTCGGTTGACTTTGTATGTTAATATTTTGAGTGAACGTGGTGATGACGATGCTTTAGTGATCCATGTGTGATGTTTGCTTAATACACGATTTGCTTTATTTTATTCATCGTTTGGTGTATATATTACAATTTTATAATACTTCTAAATCATTTTTAATGTAATTTTATGTGAATAAAGATGTTTTTCATTTCTCTGTCTCCCTGGACCAGTGATTGGTTCGTTAATTATCCACAGAGGCAGCTAGTCCCTCCTGCCTCTTGCGCTGCTGAGGCTACATGTCTATTTTTAGCACACTAACGCTTGTCAAGCTAGTGCAGGTATGTTGGCTGGAAATGCCACCTTCCAGCACCAGCAGAGATGTACCCTGACTGATACAGGACGCACTGGAGGTTCAGAATAAGGTTGTGAGCATAAGGACCTCAGAGGGATAAGCCAACAATCTCAGGTGACTGGAGAGAGAGGGCATAGCTGAGAGGGGACATAGCAAAGGAACTGTGACTTCCTGATCTGACAGCCAGTTCTGTTCTAGCCTCGGTGTACTTCAGAGAGGCCTTGGGGCTCCTCTAACCTATACTGGCTGACTCTGGCTCCAACTGGCCAGTACATGAGCTGAGAATGGCCCGAGCAAAGTAGCACATTGGTCCCCTAAGCTAGAGGCTGCAGGGGGTGGTAAAGGAGCCAGCTATCCTAGTTCTAGCTCTGCGGGGGATTGCTTCACAGTGGAGGAAATTGAGTGGCTTTCTAGCCCCTTTGCTGTGGCTCAATGGGATGAAGAAGAGACTCAGACCCAGAAGCGATGTCCAGATTAGCACAGTGGTTATCTTCCCTATATGGACGTGCTCAGACCTCTCACCAGGAGAATCTACTGCCAACCCAGTGAACAGGCAAATTTACCTTCTCGTGTTGTTCAGATGCTTTAGAATGGGCTCACCCAGTACGGTGTGTGCAGGTCTTAGACTCATAGACTCATAGACTC